TTAGAAGGCCAGATCCTGAAGAGGAAACTCTCAAATACTTTGGCCACCTAATGAGAAGGGAGGACTCCCTGGAGAAGAGCCTAATGTGGGGAAAGATTGAGGGCAAAAGAAGGAGGGGACAACAGAGAATGAGGTGGCTGGATGGAGTCACTGAAGCAATCAGTGTGAGCTTAAATGGACTTCAGAGGATGGTAGAGGACAGGAAGGCTTGGAGGAGCGTTGCCCATGGGGTCACAATGGGTAAGTCATGACTTCGCAAATAACAATAATAACAAAGGGACAGAAGCAATGCATAGAGGACAAGAGGTAAGACTGCTTCACTGTGGTCTGGGGAAAGCTGCAACCTTTAATTGCCACCACAGATGAGTTGGAGTGCAAGCCAGCAAGGGGGACCAAATTGACTTCTTAGACTAGGAAACATCAGCACCACTCCATGAGGCAATACAATATCTTGAACCATTGCATTTAGAAAGCAGAGAAGGTGGCAACTTGAATTGGTTCCTCCGTTGCAAAATGGGATTTACAGACTAAAATACTTCTCTGTCCCTTCCTCTCTGCATATGTTTTATATTCTTTCTTCTAAAGACCATAAGATTCTCCTCTGACCCTTACTTCAACTCTGTTTCATCATTTGGAGACAATTAAATTTCATGGAGATTTGAATTCAAGACAGCTCCAGCCCCAGCTGAGCTGTATAAAGTCAAACAAAGCACAATATTCAATTGTCCTCTAATTTTGATCCAGATTATAGTTCACTTACCATATATGTCAACTGCCTTCTTTTGAGCATACAAGTCCCCCCCCCTTGAACATTTTTGTATGAACACAGAATACTATTCCCTACTGTCTGTCTTCCAAGTAGATGGGATGGTTATTCCATCATCATTAGAACAAGAATGAGTGGCCCTCTAATAGTGAATGGTTGACTAGCACAGATTGAAAGATATCTATCATCAACTCTTCATTCATCCATATATCCATCTGCCTGCTTGCCTCCCATAGTAATCCTGTTGACATACACATTTCCTTTTCCCCCTTTATCCACACTGTACCAATTTTGCACAATTCCTTCAGTAACTACATCACTCCGGTAATAATTGGTAGCATGATTGAATTAATGGGAATAAGATTACAAATTTAATTACCAGTCAGATGATTGAACTGACAAGGACTCCAATTGTGGTAGAAGCTCATATTATATAGGGCCATGATGGCGAATTTATGGCACGTGTGCCACAGGTGGCACGCAGAGCCATTTCTGAGGGCTTGCGAGCCATTGCCCTGTCAGCTCCAGTGCACATACATGCGCTGGCCAGCTGATTTTTGGCCTTGATTTTCAGCTGTTTTTCGCCCTCCATTGGCTTCCCTGAAATCTCCAGAGGGCAAAAAACAGCCCAACGCACAAACAGGAAGTATGGGAACGGACTTCCAATTTGTACGTTGGGATGTGTTTCACCCTCCAGAGGCTTCAGGAAAGCCTCCTAAAACCTCCAGAGGGACAAAAATGGGCCAATGTGCAACCCAGAAGTTCATTTCCGAACTTCTGGTTTGCGTGTTGAGGCATTTTCTGCCCCCCTCAGGCTCAGCCTCTGGAAGTCGGAAAATGGGCTGTTTCTGGCCTTAGGGGGGTGGGGGGCCCGTTTTCGCCCTTCCCAGGTTCCAAGAAAGTCATGCACACATGCACGGGGCAGTGGGGAATCACATGCGCAGAAGGCACAGCACGGGGGGGGGGGCATTAAATTATGGAGTGGGCACGCACACGCCCCATGTGATAGTGCACGTGCACATGCTTTTGGCACCTGAGGCGAAAAAGGTTCACCATCACTGATATAGTTTCGTTTAGTGACCATCTCATTTAGCAATCATTCAGTTATGATAGTGATGAAAAATTAACTTTGTTACCAAGCCTCACACTTAGGACTTTTGCAGATCTGTAAAGCAAAGGAAAGTATTATAAGCATAGTTGTGGTGTCACTTAGTAACTGCTTCACTGATCATCCATGTTGCCAGTCTCAACTGTGGTTGCTAAACAAGGTCTCCCTATTCACATAATCAGTGCAATAAAAAACAATTAGTATAATATAAAATGCAAATGTTCAATAAACAATTTAAATAATTGCAAGTACAAATATTATCCTAATAATAAAATTAATAAAAATTAAAAATTTCAAGGCCAGACCATGCATATTGTGTGGAAATGTGCAATGATTCATATACTCAATTTAGAATTAACAGTGCTTCCGGGATTTATCTATTTTGCCCCCTGCCTCTCAAAAAACAAAACAGTTAGTGAGAAAAAAAAACATCAATTTTCCAGTATATGTTACATGTATCCACTGCTCATCCCAAGGATTGTTTAAGTTAAGCAGTTAGGATCCTTACTGGTCCCAGGATAGAAACTATGTGTAAAGTGCTATATAAATGATCCAGTGTTTTCATAATAACCTAAAATCTAATTATTATTATCAGCAGCAACATTATTTCATTATTGCCTTTTAGTCAGAGCTGTCTCCTGCTAACTAATCCATGTAGTTTTCTTGGCAAGATTTTAGAAGTGGTTTGCCATTGTCCGCTTCCTAGGGCTGACTGGAAATGACTGGCCCAAGGTTACCCAACTGGTTTTATTCCTAAGGCAGGACTGGAAATCACAGTCTCTCCAATTCTAGCCTGATGCCTAGACCAATATACTAAACTGGCTCTTGAAATGGAAATTCTAAAACACTCCATTTTACAAATTAAGCATTTAGAAATTAGTCTAATATCATTCAGTAAATTAGTCACTTTAAAGAAGAGATTTTCCAGGCCAAAATCTGAAGGCTCCTTTTCAATCACAGCAATGTTTGCTGTATTTACAATACAAGGCTTTCCTTGCACAATTTATATAAAGGGAGGGTGAACATTTCCCAGTCTAGGAGCAGCGTCTGGTAAATCCACCGCTTTTGGCTGCAGTCCTTTGTTGCAAGCTTAACACATATTGAAAGTGTATTCTTCCTAAT